TTTTCAGCAATTATTCGCTGTGAACACCCAATGAGGAAACGTCCAGCAGCAAAAGTCATTTAGTGATTACGCTGCCGTAGTTGACATGCAGTCTAGGCTTATTATCATGTTTTTCAAACGTTCAACAACGGCTCCACTGAAAGTAATTTTGAGGAACAAATTTTACTTGCCTTGTTTTCATTTAATTCCTCAATTTCCCAATTGAAAAATTTTTGGCTGACTTCACTTTTGTTTTCGTCCAACTTCGGTCCTACTAAAGTTACACATCGCCATTTTGAATTTAAAAAAAAAACAAACAGGAGTAGATTGCTTCTGTGTAAGTAATGGAAAGTAAAGGCGGGATGGGGTGCAAATAAGAACTGGCGAAACCTAAAAAGGAGGAGACAAAACAATGAAAAATAAATAAATTACACAAATGATGCAATTTTCCAAGAGACAAGGAATAGAAAACCAACTAGAACTTTTTTAGGTCTAAAACTAAATCCCCCAGGATAAAATCCCACCGGATATAATCCCCCATGACTAAATCGACTGTAGGACCAAATCCTCTTGGACAAAATCGTTCAGGTTTTAGTTTAAAATCCCCCACATTCAAATTGAATAAAACAACGACACTAAAACTTGAATTAAAAGAAGAAAGATAAAAACAGAAAAGAAAAAGATAGATGAAAGACTAAAAACTACTAACTAAAATTATTAGTATTTGTTTATACCAGGCTTCTACATGCAAGGGCGGGGCAAACGCGAGAGCAGGTAAAAGACGTATAGCTAGGTTGAATTCTTTGTCCTCGCAATACTGTATAGCATAACCAAATTCGGGTATCTTTCTGTAAATGGCTTGCGAGAAGTGAAAAAACCTTTGATTTCTGTGTCGGGAAAGTTATCACACACAGAATTGATACAAGCCATTTCAAATTCCATTATGATTGAACATAGATTTTTTAAAAGTTGTTCAATCTACGAAGCTATGAACAGTGTATACTTGGTACAATCTATCAGGACAGCTTTTAAAGGTTCCATCGATAAACCAGTTTCCATAGGAGTTTAAGATTTTGATGTTTTTAATGGTTGCGAACACCAAAAATTGCTTAATGGTTCCCCTAACTATGGAATCTTCAAGAAGAAAATCTTCTCCGTTCATGGTTTGCATGTATTTAACAGGCAGTTCAAAATCGATTCCTGTTTAGGATCGGTGGCTGGCTACGGTTTTCATATCGGAGTCTTGTGATCCTTCGTTTAAGGTGACGCACCAACGGCATTTTCGAGGAGCATTCTGGTGTGGTTTTTGCCAGGGCTTTTGACAAAATTTTTTGTGTCGAAGAGTCCGTGCAGGTCAATGCGTCCGTTTTGATCTGTTCGTTAATGGTAAACGTTTCCCATAAAGCATAGTCCAGGCCCTGTGTGTGCTCAAGTGGCGGCGATTGGAGGAATTTGCCCTTTGAAGTCCATATGCTTGCCTTACATTGTTGCTTTGATCGCCCGCCGCAACTCGCACTCCCACTGAATAGAATTGACAAACTCTCTCTGGCCCCATTTGTTACTTCACACAAATTGGACTTTGATATTTTGCCTTGTAATTATTTTGAATGAGTCGGTAGTTAATAAAATCCACCTGTTTCATAAGACCGGCGGAAAATTATCCTGGGGGTTTTAGTCAGCGAGCGCTTTTTTATTATAGCATATAAAAAAAAATTCTGTTAAAACTCTTCAACAAGAGCTCGGGAAATCAATTCAGTTGCCTAAATAATCTCATAATTTGGTCCCCAACAAACCAGTATATTAGATTTTTGAAATGGGAGACGTAATTTGTGGCTTAAAATGTGCATTAACAAACAGGAAAAGTGTTTTTGAATCTTTTTTTTTTATAAAAGAAAGGCTGTCCACAGGGCTGTGCTTTTCGGCAAAATGGTGTCCTTTTTTTTGTTATGAAGGATATCAGAAATCAGATTTGATTGACATAAACAATAATCGGCAAGTTTTGGTGCGTTTTTTGAAAATTCGATCCATGGATTATCAAAAAAGCATTCCTCGGATTTTGAAACAAGCTGTTTACTTTAAATCAATACATTATTCTTGGATACTATACGTTTGCCGCAGTGCGGTCTGTATTTAGACAGCCGCGTTTTCATACTCGTCAGTAAGCAGACAAACACTTTTTTAACTGATCAAAATCGGGATGAGAATGCAAAATTACTAAATAATAAATTATTATTCATTCATTTGTTCCCTTTCTCGATTCTGATTGGTTAATAGAGTATTTGTCTGAAATTGACGAGTCTGAAAATTCTGTTGTCTAAACACTGCTACGTAAACACGTTCGCCGAGCAATTCACTTTGTTTTGTCTAACTTTTCCATTGACTGTATAATTTGAGCAAAAATCTCATTAGGCGAAGAAAGACAAAATTTAGACGAAACTAGCTACAAGTTTAAAAAAATGAATCTTTGCCGTAAAATTGGTTTGACTGGATTATAAATTATTAAAAACAAAATGATTATGTATAATTTGAAAAATGAGAAATTCAAATTATCGAACAAAAGATGCATCCTGAAGTGAATCAATTATAGACACATGATAATATAAAAAACTTTCATCTTGAGCCAATTCAACAAATTTGAGTTATTACTAGCACAAAATCCTAAGAACTACGTAGTCTTTCTTGATTTGCATTAAAAATTAGCCAAACTTTTTTCTGAGGGGGCAGACAATCACCTTTGTAACTTTTGGTAACAAGCTAGAGCCAAGGCTTCTTTTGACCCATACCGCGGGTTCACGAGGCACAATCATAGTCGCACAATTATAGTCACGAGACAAAATTATAGTCGCACGAAAATTACTCTGACAAATGCAGAAAACCAACATTCAAATATCGTTTTAGGGCTGAATGTGAGCCTAATTTAACTGAACAATGGACACTGATGAATAATTGGGTAAACTGAGTTTCGTTTTTTGGCAGAAGCCCCACAAAACAAGATTTTTTTTTCATTTTTGTATCACTGCAAACATAGAAGAAAGTTGCAAATATGGCTATGGCGATGTTTGGAAATTCCTATTAGCGAGAAAAAAATGACAAAACAAGCCTTAAATTTAACATAAATGCATAATTTTTTGTCGTGGTTCAAAAAAACTGGGCAACAAAGTTTTGCTATGGACACACATCCAAAAGAGATTTTTTGGTGGCGGTAGCATATAATTTTGGAAACTAAGCATTCCTCCTTGTATTTTGTGATAATCAGTGGATAAAATCTGTTGATTTTGGGAATTTTCATAATTCGTTATCGTAGAGTTTTATAATTTTATGGGTCGGGTCGTTTTCGATTGATCTGAAAACTTTGCCAAATTTTTTCTGTTCAGCTTGAATGAAATCTATGTTCATTCTCAAGAATTAAGTGTTTTCAACCTTTTTGTTTTACTGGTTAAGTTCAAAAACTGATGCAGCTCTTTGGATAGCGGTAAATGCAATTGACTAATTTTGGTATTACATTTTCGCAGAATTGAAAAAATTTGCCGCTCCCAAAAGTTGACGAAATTAATGGGACACATTAGCTAGCCTAAATTCAATTTGGAACAATTTGGTTCTGCCGGATAATATGTCACGGATAAAGAATTCGCGTTACACTTTCAGCGTTATGAAAACAATTTTTAAAGAGCGCATGAATTAGTTCAGAGCATGACCAAATTGGCATTTTCTAACCTCCCAGAAGTTGGCAAAAAAGATCATATAAATTACATTTTGTTTCCTTGAGCCAATATATCGAATGAGGGTATAAATTTTGTTGCTAAAAACTCTTTTTTCGATCGCCAAAAATTGACTGGATAAAAAACACCCCAAGCAGAAATACTTCGTTTGTTTCGAAAATCAGAATGAAAATTTGACAAATTCAATTTTGGCCAGTTGTCAATTTAGTTTAATAGCGTATCAGTCAGAATTTCTTTAATTGAAGCTATGATAAAAGTATTGCTTATTTTAAGCGTTCCTTTTGAGTTTTTGGAAAAAAACGAAATTTTGTGCTTATACGTTTACAAAAAGCAGTAAATATGGCATATCAAAGCGCAGATACGGCCTCAAATAGTTTTTAACTACGGGAGTTTGATAAAAAAAAAACGAAACCTTTTGACAATAAATTAGTTGTTCAACCGAAAAAATCAAGACAAATCACAGTGAAACAAAAATCAGAAAACGAAAATTATTGCCCCCAGAATAAAGAGCAATTCCATCAGGCTTAAGTGAACTTCGGGCAAGTAAAAACTTTTAAGCTCCACTTAAGTTACAGAGTTTTGTGAATGTTATTTTATTTATACGCTTGCGATTTTTTGAAAATTTAGTTTTTAGGATTATCGGTTGCCAAACTACAGCTGCTGACTTTATTGTACGAGCTTGGAGCCTTTGATCAGAGTTTTTATTGGCCAACAATTGGTCCGAGATCTGCGAAACAAACTTGGCTTTTGAAATTTCACAGCTATTCAGTCAAAATATAAATTGATAGCCTATTTATTGATTTTTGACTACGTAATGAGTTTTCGTCTTAATTTCCTTGTTTGTATGTTGAGACTTTTTATCTAATTTGTACACTTTTTCGTTCGTCTAACTTCTGTGATTTAATCTGGCTGAAATAAAAAAAAATTATTCATGGAACATTTATCAAAAGCTTGGAAAAAAAACGTAACTTGGATCTTCAAGACTGGCTTGGAGATTTTTATAATAGGTCTGGCGCTCCTCCTACCGAAACATTTCAGCTTTTTTTTTGCCTCATCGGAAATCCACGATGTCATTTACTTTGGTTAAAAGCAGAAGTCATATAATTTCAAGTCTTTATTCACAATAAAAACACATTAGCAGGAGACTGGGAACTAATTAAACCGTAGTTAATAGCTCGCATAAAAAAGTTTAAAATATTTTCAAGACAACAGCTAATCAAAATGATGAATAATTTAGCAAAAAAGCAGGTGTTCACGAGGAAAAAAGACGAACAAATCATTATAACGTGATTTTATCCTGATGAAAACACCTGCACTGAAATCTGAAGGCACGGTTTGGTATTCTTTATTATTTACACCAAGCTCGAAGGAATACTCCGAGCTACATAAAAAGGTACCTTGCAAATTGAGAACAAACCTTGAATCATTGAACCTTGAACAAACCTTGAATTGAATCATTTTGAAAATTCTCAGATAAATTTTACAATATTCGTGGCCTGTGTAAATCATGGTGTACCCTTTGATAAGTACGCAGAACCAAAAACCCTCGGAAAATGAATCTGGAAACATTTCGAAAACGACTGCAGACGGAAAAGCGCCTTCGAATGGACCAATTTGGGTGGAGGGAATTGTGCCCCCTTTAACCCCCGGGGTTACAAATGGGGGAGAGGTCAGCGAATCATTTAAAGGCTAAAAATATGTTACGAGTGAAATTTTGTGAAATTACTTGACAAAAAAATGAATTTAAACTAATCTTTATTACAAACTATTAGAAAATAAAGTATAATTTAAACAGTGCTTCCAAAACTGTTAAGTGAGCAAATTTTCATCTCGAAAAAAAGTATTGCAAAAAAATAATTAGCTAACTTTTGGAATTTTTTTTTGAAAATTTCGAAAACTTTTTTTTTAAATGAGCAGTTCCAAAAACTTTTCAAAAAAATCGAATCACTTTTTCCCGCGTTTAGATGTGCCAACAACTTTGTTTATTCAATTCACACTGTTTTACATTTTGCAGGGTGGGTTTGTGGAGGTGAAGAGGCCTGAGGGGAGGAAGAAGAGGAGTGGGGTGTGCATTGGGATCTGGCTTGCAGTGGGTGCACTCTGTGCCATCATTCTTATATTAATGGCATACATGGCCGCCAACTATTTGGAGAACCAATCAAGAGGTTTATTGCACAAATTGAGGCTTACAAAAAACGAATCTGCCTATGAAACCTTGAGAGAATTTGAGATTGTTTTCGGATCATTACGAGGCCAAACTGTGCAGTTTGTGAATCGTAAGCGGATTCCGTAACAGGCACTAAAATATAAGTGGGGAGTGGGGTGTTAGGTAATTAATCATAGTAGTTGATTAAGATTGAAGGTGGGCTTAATATAATGCGGGAAATGTTAAGATGAAATGGGGGTTGAGAAGTTAGACGAGAAGCAAATTAAACGGAGGTACTTAAAAGGAAATTAGACGATTTTGCAAAACTGCAATTGTGAGAAAATAGACGAACGTGAGATTAAAATTGTTTGCAGACGAATTGCGCGGGAAAAATAAAATTGTTTGCAGACAACAGTTAAATTTCGGTGGCCAAAAATTTTACAAGTCAATCAAGCATAATTTGTTCATTTGAAAACTCTCCTGTAATATTCGGATGTGACATTTTCTGTTAATTTAAACTACTTTTTTTGATATGTATTAGTATTGACATTTTATGTTCTTTTTGTATTTGTGAAACTTGAATTTCAAGAAAAAATTTTGTTGGCCCTTTCCTTTTCATAGCTTTTTTGTCTAAGTCTAAAATGCCAGATGTGTACAATTATCATTAAATATTAAATAAATTAATTAAAAATTACCCGCGCTCAGTAAAAAGAGAAAATAATCGATTATATTATAATCGTACTTTTAGCAAATTATAAATAAATATAAGCGCCACCTTTAGATGTTTAAACGATTCATAATCCATTATAATGATAACATTTTTGCTGTCAAATTAAAAAATTATAATCAATTATTATTGATTATAACTTTTCCGAAAATCTCTCAAAATTTCTTATAATTTATTATAATCTATTGTGATAGATTATAATCCATTCTAATATATTATAATCCCTTTTTCTATCAAAAAATTATGTTACCATAAAAACGAAATATAATGAATTATGATTTCGCTATTCTGCATGAAAACACAGTAAAAATCAGTAAGAAGTGAGAAATCAGTAAACCAGGGGCGGATATGAGATTTTCTCGACTGGTGGAGGCGCGGATTTTCAAAAAATTTTCAAAAATTTTATCGACTTTTTTTAAATCGACCAAATTAATTTTCCGAACTCTCCCAAAGCACTTAAAACACTATTTTTTGGCAAACTTTTGAAGGAACAGGGCAAAAACGGCTTTTTTAGGCATTTTTTGGAAAAATTTCACCAACAAATTGCGTTTTTTTGCGCGCTCCCCGTCAAATTTATTTTTTTTTGGCACCAAAGGTAAAGGTCCGTCACCAAATATGGTTATCTCAAAACAGTACAAAGGGGGAACCCTTTCGGTTGGCAGGAGGTTGAATCCCTGAAAAAAGGCGTCCCTCTAAATCCGTCGTTGCAGTAAACAGTAAGAAAGTAAACAGTAAACAGGAAATATTAAGAAAAGAAATCAACTGAAAAGCACACAAAACAAAACAAAAATAAAACGAAATGAAGCGATGACGTTCTTTGAATAAAAATATATTACATTTGATTAATTTGGATTATAATTCAATAGAACTTCAGAAATAGTTTTCTCAAAAAATAATTGATAATCGATTATAATGGGTTTTTTTGTTTCGAAAAATAGTAATATTATGATCCATTTTTAATCGATTATAATCTCTTTTTTTTTAATTTTCTGGAGACTGACAATAAAAATCCATAATAATCTATTATTTTCTCTTTTTACTGAGTGCGGGTATTTATAAATGCTATTAAAAGTTTTCAGCACAGAGTCTTTAATTGAGTCTTTTTCTTTTTTTAATTGATTTTTATTGGTGAATTTAGGAATAGCTGCATAATTTTCATACCAATTTTCATCTCAAATCTGAGAGCAGAGCTGAGTTTTTTCTCTCTTTTGTTTACTCAAATGTGAAGGCAAATCTCAGAATTTTAAGGGAGGACAGAGGAAAGCGCTCAAAAGCAATCCGAGATTTTTCTAACAATGCAGTATAAAATATTTTTTAAAAAAATTAAGAACAATTTAAACAATGTAATACATAGCATGCCCAAGCACTCACTTTTAGCACACTTTGTTGATATTTTTGGTGAGATTTTTGAGAACAATCTTTTTTGTTTTCAGACAAGTGGGTGAAAGTGGATTGTGGAAGTCATGAAGAGTACTGTCATTATTCCAGAGAAGACCACGAGGGCAAGAATGATGGCCATAACTGTGACCTCAGAGGAGGCCATAGGCCATACCAGGAGCCAGGGTTCGAGGTGATGCCATTGCAAGATTTTTACTCCAAAAGGAGGATTTGTATTTGAACACTTTTCATTCTTAGCCAATTCAGCTTCCACAAAACATGTGTTGCTCTTTTTAATGCTGGTTTTCTCGACAGCTTTTCAAAAAATGGTTATTTTTGAGACTGGGAATATTAGTCGCATAATCATGAATAATTGAAAACGAAGGGCAACCCACCAAGTTTCCTATGCACCTTTAGGGAGCTTTGAGTTTGAGATGATCAATTTTATTATTTGGAGATGGGCAATTCAAGTAGTTCGATTGTCAATAAGGGTTATCTCATCATAACTAAATTTTCTTGAAAACTGGCTAAAAAAAGTACAAACTAATTAAGCTTCTCTCTAATAAACCGATTCGCGCCGTCAAATTTGCCTGAATCGCATCTAATAACTCCAAACATTGCTCGTACTTAGCTTATCATATTAGTCGTCCTATTTAGATCTTGGAACACATGTTTCTGTCCAGTGACCATATATGGCAGACTATGGTTCCCAATTGTGGCCATGACGAGGATGGAATGACGATGTACAACTACAGCTTCGTGGTTGACTTCGAGAAAGAAGTGGTCGCAATCAGGACTGGGGCCACTTCCGCTGACAGTACCAGTAAGCCAAGCTGTTGTCATGTCAGCATACCACAAACTTCCTCACCGATTTTGAACTACAATCGTATAAAAACCTCCTTAGATACCATCCAGAAACTCGAAGAGAAAGAAGTCAGGTAGATGTCGCTAATAAACTCACGGAGAATTAACAAAAGCCCAGAACTGGGGTTGTTAAAAACGTTGAATGCTGGCAAACCCTAAAAGTTTTCTAGAGGTGCCTTTGGTGCCAATATAAACCTCAGAAGCGTGTAGCTATGATTCTTCCGGGGTTTCTGAAAAACAATTGATTCAAGCTTGCGACTTTAGTCGACTTAAAACACCATATAACCTTCCAGTCTTGAAACTCGCTTCTAAAGTCAGCGCCTGAAAAAACGAACTGCGAGAGATCAAACTAGATGTCGAAATCGTCCTCGCTTGATATTAGACAGATATTGCGAATGTGGCTGTCCTCTAATACCCCCTGGTTTTCAGTTGTAGCAGCCCAAAAAACGCTTAAACGTTTTTCCAGCAGTTGAATTGATTGTTCAAAGCTTTTTTTCACAAATTTTTTTTAAAGTGCTAATCATACAATTTCCATATATGGAAATTGTATGATTAGAATTTTTTTCATACCATTTTTTTCCTTTTTTATGAAGAGATACCAATTTCGATACCAAAATAACAATAAAAGGTGGCAGGACAATCTACCCTATTCCAAACTACCCTATACCATTCTACCCAATACTAATCTACCCTATACTAATCCGCCCTATATACCAGTTTAACCTGTGTCGATTTGGCGCATATTTAATGTAATCTTTCAAAGTCCTAATAGGAATCGGAAAGATAACAGCACGTGTTAATTCATTTGAGTCTAAATTTTTGGACTCAATTTGAGTGTTTCTCTTAAGGAATTGGTTCTAAAGACTAAATCGCAAATTAAGCCTCAAAATCTGAGGTTTGTCTCAATTAGCAGGTTTTAATCCCCAATTTTCATTATCACGTACAAAAATGAAACCAAAACTACGTCATTATATCAATTTTCCTTGGAATAACATTTACCAAAATGTGTCAACTTTCTTGGGGTCTATTCCAACAGAATTGGAGAACGCTTGTAATCGGTGGCCACGTCTTTACTAGCATTTTTCCATAGACTAAGTATATGAAATTGTATGATTAGCATTTTCGGTCTATGGAGGTCAACCCGGGACCATTACTTCCAGCTGCCATCGCATCAAAACTTGTTCAGTGATCATAGTCAAAAGGCTTCAACAATTTTAGGCTTTGCTGATAAAATAGACAAAAAATGTTTTTGGGCTGAACAGCTTGAGGGAAATGTAAAACGAGCCACAGATAATTTTGCATCCATGTAGGTTGACGAACGTGCAAACTTCTTGAAAGGCTTGTTGAAGCGTTGCACTTCGGATAAAGGAGCGATAGGACTAATTTTCTTGAATTATCGTATAGACCAGGAGCTTGTAGTTCTCGGTGTGCAACTGTCTCTCGTTTCCCCTCTCTTGGCGCTATTGATGCGAAAAAGCTAAATTTGCAGCTCAGGTTTAATGGGATTACCCAGGAGAGCCAACGTTGCCTCATTGTGTGCTGAAGTTGTCGACTCTTTGTTGATATAGGAATTTGTTTAAACTATTTCATAGAAGAGATGGATAGAAAAAGTCGGTGGGGTCCCTGATGATGGAGGGACCGAATGTTGGAAATTTATTTTTAGTTAATTTCAGCCAATCAGAATTGAGTATTCAAAAACCTGAACAAAATCACAAAAATCTCTAAGAAAGCGAATAAATCCACGCCATTAAAATTAATATTGACTGATTAGAAATAAAGCAGATAAATTAATTTTCATTTATTGCGAAATCAAAGCGGCATTGGAAAAAATCTAACACAGATTATTAAAAATGAAAAATAAAACACAAAATAAATTGTACATTTGCAAGAATTGTAAAGCAAAAATTTTATGTGCTGCTATAATTCAATTTTTGTTAATAATGATTTCGGTTTTGTGCGAAAGCAATTTAGCCAATAGGAATGTCTATCGATTCTGATTGTTTAAAAGTTTTCCACCATTCGGTCCCTTCATCATGAGAAAACCCCCCGAAAAAGACCCCCGCAGAATTTCAAGTTCAAGAGCGGAAATAGATTTCTGCAGATGTATATAAATATATGTATCTAAAGATGTATAAATTTTCATATATGTTTATCTGTGTTTATCTTTTCCAGACAGTGGGGGCAGTTGTTTCGTGGCCCACACAGGGGACATTCTGGACTTCCCCGAGGAGAGTGTGGTGGCTCAGTTCCTAGAAAACGGCAACTCACAATCTCCCGAAGGAAGCGAAGGCAACGAGGAGATGTTTTTGCAAAGTGTCCTGATGGAGGTAAAACATATATAAATAACTTGTTAAGTAAAAGACAAAAAAGGTACTTAAACACTTTTTTCTAAAATAGCACGTACTTTTAAAAAAAATCGACAACAACTTGAATTTAGAATGCTCGAGTTTTGGTCATCAACAAAATGAGCGAGAAGAAAAAAACATCAAAGCGCAAATTTTTCGGAATCTAAACTCGGGGTTTTGGGACAGGGACAGAACTAAGAATTTCGAAATATTTGTCGACTTTTCTTTTTTATTTTAGGTCGACCATATTGATTTTCTGATCTCTCCCAAAGCACTAAAAAGACTCTGTCTCGGTCAAGTTTTCGGCACCAATGGCATAATTTTGAAAAAACAACCAAAAACAGGCGTTCTTAGACACTTTTTGGAAAATATGGACCAAAAATCGCGCTGCCCCCTCAAAATTAGTGTATATTGGCGTCAAAGGTGCCTTTAGAAAATTTTTGGGGTCCGACACCAAAAATGGATATCTCAAAATAGTACAAAAGGAGGACGCTTTGTGTCGGCAGGGGGTCGAATCCCTAATAGGTGGAGGCATCCCCCCCCCCCCCTAAATCCGCCACTGTTTTGGGCTAAATGTTAAGGTGCAAAAATTGTAAGCACTAAGTTACATCAACCAGGTAAGACTAATCAATCTCAAAGCATTCGAAATTCTAAGTTTTTACTATAAATTCTCCATTGAAACATAAATGATAGATACTTTATCCCAGCGCGGTTGCACAAGGACTGGGTAGGAACAGGTGGTGGTAACCCACAAGCCGAATGGCTAACAAGCTCAAAATTAGTTTACTATTCAAACAAGCTGAAGTTATAACAACAAATTGTCACTGTTGTTATGCAATTGTTACGTAATTCTGAGGTAATTTGTTTATTCTGGTGTAATTTTGGCTTCAAGATTTGGCGTTTTGATGAATATCCGCCAAAATAGGCATATTGTGCTTCTTGTGTAGTGTTGACTGTTATGTAAAATACGTATATTACGTTATAATGTAATTATAACTAATGAGTAGTAACAGGGTCAACATGATAGTTAGGCTGATCTGTACGTTTAGCCAGTAGTGACGGTCACCTAAAAGAATTGAAATTGTTCTTCTTACATCTCTTTCAATAAGAGCGCACGACATTACGTTACCTATTCGAATTTTTTTGCATGGTGCAGTCATGAACTGAATCGAGCTACCGCGGTCTAGGTGTATTTTGGCACGTACCCTCTCAAGATCCGCTGGTACCTTGAGGAGACAGGGCGCAAAATTTCCAACTGGTAGTAATTTCAAAAAATAAATAGATATTGATGTTTTTTTGCAGAGAAAACGCAACCAGGGAATAAATACCCTTGCTTTGGAGGTATCGATTGGGAAAAAAGCGAGAGCAAGGACAGAGACAGAAGCTCGTAAGAACACAGCAATCAGAGCGTGGAGAGAGGAAGAGATTTGTCGGAAGGATGAGGAAACACAGTTATTTAAAGGCGGCAGCACCTGGGGAGTAGCCGACAAGAGGGAATTAAGGCCAAAAGTCTTTCTATCAGAAATACCCCCACTGAAAGATTGTTGATAATAAAATCACAGTTTCAAAATTTATAGTATATGCTTTCCGAAGAGAACCGAATGTCACCAATTGTAGGTTTGTTCTGTTTGAACGATAACAATGAGAGAACAAGGGAATGGAGGAGTTCTTTGGAGCATTGAGGGACCTTGCCTGGGATGCGACTTTGGCACAACGGAGGAGTCAATGTTAGGAGACGTGTTCATTTTCAATATGCGGAATGTGGAGATTCGTAAACAGTTATACATGGATGCGTCGAGTGCGGTTGATGCATTACATCTTGCATTGGTAAGAGAGAGAAAAAGGTGAATTGATGCATAAAAGGGTGAGCGATATCCTCTCAAAATATGCGGGAACAGATTTAACATAGGGCGTCACAACTCCACGGGCGGCCAACACTCAGGATATAAGAAGAGAGAACTGGTAAACGACGTCAATTCTCAAAGACAAGCTAAATGACGAAATGAAACTGGACAAAATTAAATCACAGAGGGAACTGCCCGGCAGAGGCCATCATATACAACAATTGCAGTAGGCTTGGGCTTTTCGCGAAAACTTGCAAAAGTGGGGGATTGAACCAAATGGATAAACAATAGGAATTTACCCAGTACGAAACGAAAGTGATACGAAAGGTCGAGAAATGAAGGAGATTTTGGAGTGTTTCCGATAGGATTGCCACGGGCTCAGAGTTGTTTATTACCGAGGGTGGTCAAAGAGACATTGTAGGGAACAATTTCTTGCATCTGCTGAGCTTCGAAGTACGCCAGAAGCAATGTCGAGTATGGTGATTGAAAATTTTGGATAAGAGAGCGGGTCTAAAGCCCAGTGTTTGCCATCGCAAAGTGAGTAGATTGAATGTTTTTTTGCGAGGTTTCAAGAATTTACCTGAAAAAAAAATATAAGGAAACTGCAAAGTTACAAGTAAAAAGTTAACATGTTCCAATTCACGTGCTACTAAAAGTAGAAGAAACTATCGTGAACATACTAAAATAAGGACACATCGTTAAGCTAGGTAAAAGAACAGAAGATTTTCTTTATCTAGCTAGCAGTAATAACCGCAAAAGGAGATGGAACAGTGAATTTAGCGCTGAATTCAAAGCTGATTAACAAAAAAATCTATCAAAAATCGCTTTCAGAGCCCTAATATGAACGAATTGGTTGACACTGTAGCGTTGAACTTGAGATGCACTAAAACAGGTCCAATTTGGTCTTCAAACATAGATCTGAAATACGCAAGCACACAAATGTTACTTTGTGAGGCGACGAGCCGTCAATGCAACTTAACTTTTGTCGGAGGCACTAATACGGGTACATACCGTTGTAAAACGGGTTTATACGGCTTGGGAATCAAGACCACTGAAATTCAACGGGTAATAAACTCGATGTTGGGACCTTCACAAGGGGCGCAAGTTTATTTATTTGACACACTAATCGCGATCCGGGGGCCTGAAGAAGCCATTGGCGGGTAATCAAAGATATTCTGAAAATATTAGATGATGAAATTTCAACCGCAAACTGAAGCAAATGTCCTTTGTTTGCAAAAAATTTAGAATGGCTGGGTTTCAAATTTTGTAGTAAAGGCATCGTACCGCTGGAAAGGAAAGTTGAACCAGTTGTCAAGATAAAACGACCCGAGAGCATAACAGGTGTGAGATCGTTGTTTGGCTCTATCAATCAGTTCATACTTTTTTTTCCAAAACTGAAATGTTACAAGAGAATTGCTCTCGACTCTAATGAAAAAACGTTAATGCTTTGAATGTGGACCTACGAATGAACCAATTTTTGCTAAATTGAAAAAAATGAAAGAGCTTGTCCAAAATCACAATTTTGATCTCAAAAATAACTAGAGTTTAGGTCGACACTTCGAAGCAAGACCTAAGGACAGGACTGGAGAAATTTCTTATTGGCGGGTGGAAGCCGATTTCCTAAGCATCCCGACTTTTGAGTGAAGGGGATTTAATTGAAATATCAAGAAACCGGAGATTTTGGCGGTGGTTTGGGCAGTAACTCATTATCAAACTTATCTGTTTGGGGCTTCGTTTAAAGGGAACATCAAGCTCTAATATCTTGCTTGTCGGAAGAAAGTTACAAAAACGTTTCACACTCACCTTGTACGGTGGGTAGACCGATTTTTACCATTTGACTAAGAAATAGAGCACATCCCAGGAAAAAACTGGACTGGTAGTTTATTTATCCAAGTACGCTACGGAATTACCGCGGCTAACGGTCCAAAAAATCTAATTGCAATTCTTTGTTGGGTTCTTCCAACAATTCTTATTTAGTAACTTCCACCACCATTCTGTCTTCAAAGAATAAAGTACCGTTAATTGTGCGTAACTTATCTAAATACTGAGTGCAGTAAGAAGCTAGGTTTCGAAGTTGCTCATTATTTTCGGCCGTCAAGGCTGTGAATCTATAATTCAAATTTTTGTCCGTCTCTATGAGAATTGCATAACACATTTGTAGTTACGCAAGTTAACGCAGTTAATAAATAGTCTTTTAGTTTCATCATCTAATGATAACACTGGTGAAAAGACAGGCAAAAAAACGTCTTGGGCAGCACAAAGTTGGAACGGGAATGACGTCATTGTAAAGAAAGTGCAGCAAAGAAACTGATCGACGAGTTTCGAAACAGTCATTTGATCAAAGTTTTCACTGCAAAACGCACAGAATACTGTAAAAATTTTAAGCTTACAAATTCTCGAAATTTAAGCGAAATTCTAACGAAATTGACAAAAGCCAAGGGCAGGAGACCCGTGAAATACCTACGGTTAATGTCCACAGAGCCAACTCATTGAGGCAGTTTTGGTTGATTCTACGGTAGTTCCTCCCAAGGTGTTTCCGATTAATTTGTTTGATCAGCCAGAGTTATTTTTGCAAGCTGAAATGCTTGCAATTCTCCTACAGACGGACGAAAGTTTGAACTATAGAATCAACGCCTTTAAGGCCAAAAATAATGAGCAAATTCGAAACCTAGCTTCTTACTGCACTCAGTATTTAGATAAGTTACACACGATTAACGGTACTTTATTCATGGAAGACAGAAGGGTGGTGGACGTTACTAAATAAGAATTGTTGGAAGAACCGAACAAAGAATTGCAATTAGATTTTCGGGACCGTTAGCCGCGGTATGGTGTGCGAACGCGTATTGTTAAATATGCGAAAATAGTTTTTCTTCAAAGTTTTCCTTCATCCAAATAATTACAGGAAGCACGTGTGAGTTTAAGGAGTTTTTTGAGAACTATATCGCTCTACATGCAATAAAGAGGGCAATCCAAACAGGTCAAGGCTCCTGCTTTAGCAAAAAACCACCGGTGAATTTCGTGCTAAAATTTATTTAGTTGATATTCGCACTGTTTGGTAATCACCAAGAAACGAGATAAGTCAAAAAGTGGATTCGTACAAAGCGTGAGCGACTAATGGCCTGTTTCTTTCAAAAGCTTACGCTGAAGACTGCTCTGAACGCAATCATGTTTAACATGAGACAACAATGCACCAGTAAATTGGGTGTTATCCAATTGAGGCACATATCGGTCGAAAGCCAAATACAGTTTGGCATACAGTTACTAGAACCGCGTCCTCTAATAAATTATCTTGGAAAAATGTGTTATGTTTCTTAGATAAAAACAAAAAAATGTTCCCTGCCCGCGTTATGTAGGACTATACTCTCTCGGACGACAAAACTCCGTTGAGTTGAAGGGGGAAGTGTATTGGAGACTATCATGTAACAAACGTATAATACGTTTTTATGTTTCGTATCACTAATGAGTTGTACCAAGGTCAACATGATAGTTAGGCTGATCTGTACGTTTAGCCAGTGGTGACCTAAAAAATCGAAATTGCTCTTCTTACATCTTTTTCAATAAATACGTACGACGTTACGTTGCGTATTATAATACTTCTACACCCTGCTCCATTTGAAAAAAATATATATATATTTATATATCTGTGTCGAGAAAAATTGATCTGAGCATGTTTGGTTTTGAGACCAGTACAGAGCAAAGAGTTAATCAGTGCGCTAACCGAAAATGAAAACTGTTTTCATACACTTTGAAAGAATTTCTACCTAAAGAATCCCCATGTGTTTCAAGTTTCAAATTAAAAACATTAAAATCAAGCGAGACATTTTACACATTTAAAACACGAGAGCAAGAACTTAATTCCCACAATAGTTTGTTTTCGTGTGGTTTTTGACACTTTTAATTAACTAAATATAGAAAAACTAGCAGAAATCATATGTTCCAGTTTTCTCTAGTTCACTTTTCACTTTCTCGTTTTGTAAAATTGTTTTATTCATAGTACTTTTCAGGTCGAAATTGCACATATATACCACAAACATTTGAGTTACTTGCGCATATATACCACATAAAAAAAACATCAAACTAACCAAAACTAGATCAATTCTCGCATCGGTTTTGAAAATATTTTGAAGAAAAGGTTGAAGTAAACTAAAAATATTTGTTTTAGACAGGGGCGGATCTAGGATTTTTTCGAGGGGGGGGGGGGGGGGGGCGGAATTTCAAAAAATTTTCAAAAATTTTGACGTTTTTTTTAGGTCGGCCAAATTGATATTTCGAGCTCTCCTAAAGCAGGTAAAAAGACTCTGCTTTGGCGCAGGCAAATTTTTGAAAAAATAGGTCAAAAAAGCCGTTTTTGGGCACTTTTTGGAAAATTTTGACTGAAAAAAATCGCGTTTTTTTTTGGCGCGCGCTCCCCCTCAAAGTTAGTATATATTGGCGCCAGAGGCGCCTTTAGAAAAACTTAAGGGCCGGTCGGCCAAAAATGGATTTCTGAAAAAGTACCACCCCCCCCCCCCCCCCCCCCCCCCTAAATCCGCCCCTGCCCTGCTTCTTTCCATTCCCTGTTTACCCCCCACCCCCTTTCTCCTACCCCTCTGCGCCTGGGATAAAGTTATGCAACATACTACTTATCACTCTGATGTGCTAGTTAAATTTGATAACCATCATGTAAAGACTTTTTTGTCAGGCTTTGTTTGAGCCCATCCTTCTAAAAGAATTTGATTTTCTAAATATCTAACTTTGAATTTCTGGTCAAAGTTATCTCTGACACAGCTGCGCTCAAGCAAAATCTTTTCTTTTCAATTTTAAGGCTCATGTTGAGTATCGCGAGTTGGAAATTTGTAGCGGGCGACAAGTGGTTACGGGCAACACTTCGTAACGGGGGAGAATTCGTAACGTGTAATAACTGATAGTAGTCGATTGAGAGGCAAACACTGATTCACCACACTATACCATTCGTGCCGAATATCAGCGAAGCTGAGCGCAGTAGGAGGAAGCGGTCGCTACTTGCAAATTTGCCTTGTAACGAATTGTCGCATGTTGCGAACTGTCTTCCAACTGTTTTCGTGCTCTTTTTCTTTTTTTTAGCTTTCTTGCATTACGTGTACGCATCAAATTGATGGTATGAACAAAAGACATGAACGAAATTGAGCAAATAAATTTTCTCAAGTAAGTGGGGAGGGGGGGGGGGACAGAAAAGCAACCCCATTTTGTTCAGGTGACTGGTCTGAAGCAACACTTCTTCGATGCCACCCCCTTTACCCCTCAGCTAGTTGGTCAGGTGGGGGAGGAGGTGGAGTCCCTGTGCAGAGGAGCTACCATGTATTCCCTGGAAAACATCGACGCCGAGATCGAAGAAAATCTGCAGGTTTGAAACATCCGGGGTCTTTTGAGATTCCAGGCTCATGTAGAACTAAATGCCCTAAATTGAATGACCCTGAAGAGGGGCGGATTGGGGGGAGGGGGGGGGGGGGGGGGTGGGGGGAGGGGTTGACGCTTTACTTTCTCAGGAATATGACTCGCTGCCAACCCAAAGGGTCCCCCCTCTTTGCTATTTTGAGATACTCAATTTTGGTGATGGACCCTAAAATTTTTCTAAGGGCGCCAATATATACTAATATTGAGGGGGGAGCGCGCGCCGAAAAAACGCAATTTTTTTGGTCAAAACTTTCGGCCTGTTTCTTCAAAATTTTGCCTGTAACGCAGAAAATTTGGTCAAAATAGGTCTTTAGAGTATTTTAGGAGAGCTCAGAAAATCAATTTGGTGAACCTAAAAAAAAGGTCGACAAAATTTTCGAAATTTTTTGAAAATCCGCTCCCCTCGAGAAAACCCTAGATCCGCCCCTGACCCTGAATGTCAAACTGAGGGAAAAAGAAGCGAACAAAAAATTCTCAAAATAAAACTTAGCTAAGTAAAAGATAGCAAAGTTTCAATAAGGCACATAACTTGAATTTAGTAATTATGAAAAAACTTGGTACACTGAAAAATGCTCAAAACAAAAAAATTCCAACAAGTACTCCTACATGTTTTAAGGATTGCGAACTCTCTCATTAAAAAATTAATACAACAGTCGTTTACAAAATAGCTTCATTCATTTTAGTTCGACTTCAGGTGTATCACTAAATCTCATGTAAAAAATCATAAAATGTTTCAAGTATAGGTCCATATTCATCATGTTATTTGTTATAAATAATCATCTTAAACGAATCAGTCTTGGATATCGTCATTAGAAAGATTATGCTCATTTTCAGACGTCATGCATTGCATAATAAACAGGAGCGAGAGTTTGTAAAGTTTAGGACCTGTTGGAGTTCGCACATGACACGATGGACGAGGCCGGCGAGTTGCTGGGGGCAGTCCAGGAGAGTCTCTCTGATTTGAGTCTGAGCGACGCCAGCAGTGTCAATGCACTCATGCAGGACATGGCAGAACTCCTCCTGTTCATACCCACTGTCGCCGAGGGGGTAAGAAATCAGTGGAAAAATCTTTTTGCCTATCTCCATAACACCAAAAAATTATTTACGAGAAGCGCTGGTGAAGTGGCTAAGTTTCTGCTACTCCACTGAAAGCTCTTTTTGTTCGAGACTTCTGACGATCCGTGATCGATGTACAAAAGGCACAATTACCCCATTCAGAACAAAAAACCAAAGAGTTTGAAAGCCATTTACTTTTTAAACAGAGGCACAATCTCGGTTTGAAGTCAAAATCTGAACAAGTAAAAAGCTCGACAAAAAAGCTGCTGTTCGTTTAATTCAAGACTATAAACAGTCCCAGAAATGTAGTAAATAGCTACCAATGAGGTTCGGTTTTTTCGTTTTACAATCCAGGTTCCGGACCCTTTCCGTCCACAGATGCCCGGAGGAGCGCTGTCTCTCAACATCCGGACACATCACCTTGAAATGCAGTATGAAGAAGTGTGGCCCCGACTAGATGACGAGAATGCAAATCGAAGGATCAAGTAAACAAAAGCGAAAACACTGAATTGAAAAATAGACCAACGAAGTTGAAATTATATGAACAAAAAGTGAACGAATGTTTATTCGCCACTGGATTAAAAATATATAATTTTTTTCTGTTTGTGCATGCTCGAAATTGTTTCAGGACGCTTATTTTTCTTATTTTTAAGCATACTTTTTCAGCCCCAGACCATTTTCAGCAATCATTCAAGGCAAAAATGATCGGAATATTATTTAGTAACTTTATTTGACTGAATTGTAGACATCTGTGCACAAAAAGAAAATTTTAATGTTTTATACCGTGTAAAATGTTTCTCGACTCAGCTTTAATTTTAAATCTGACCAAATGAAAAAAGTCTGGCAGAATTAAAAAATCGTGAGTTCAAGTTTTTCGATTCTGTCTCTTAACCATTAAAACTCTGATCTGAGTTGTTTCAGATTGTTCTAAAAATGTTGAGGTCAGTCAGCCCCCCCCCCCGCAATCCGGTGGTGATCTAAAGTTTTCCCAAGTTTTGTTGTAGTGATTTATAGATATTAATTTTTCTTTCAAAGCATCCCTTTTTGATACAAAACTGAAAAAAAAACCTAGTCAGTTCAATGAAAAAACTTGCAAAGAAAATCGAAGACATGCTTTAAGAATCCATTGAGTCTCAGCAGAAAAAAAAGAAACCAAAACAGGGCGAGAAGAAAACAAGGATAGCCGGTTACTGTGCAAGTAGCAATTAGGTTCCGACCACAGTCCTAAAAAAACTTAATTTTTTTTTTCAAATTGGTGTAGTTTTTTTTTGCATGCTTTGATAAAAAAGATCTGAATGGAATAAACTAAGAAAAAATTGAATAACATAGTGAAATAGAACTATTGGAGAACAGTTTTTGAAGAAAAATACTAGAAAAAGGAAAGAAATCAAAAAAATTTGAAAAAATTTCGAAAGTTTTTTTCAAACTTTTTTTGCAGAAGTTTTTTGAATTTTCAAGTTTTTGATTGCCAAAGTTGCGTTAAAAACTCCAAAAATTACCTTCACTTGAGTAAAACTAAACTTATACGGCTTAAATGAAGCTTCAATAGGCTATTGTAAGCATAAACGGTCACCATATTTACTCGAAATTAGAGCAAAAATCAAAAATTTCAAACCGGTTATTCTCGACCGTGGAAAATTTTTTTTAACGCCGTTCAAATCTCGACTGAAAAGGCTTCAATGTGATTTATTACTCGACCCACTCTGATGATTACTTGTATTACCTTATTTTGCGTGGAAAACAAAAACAGACTAAAACACACCCGAATACAATGTTCCTCCCTATTTTCAATGTTCGGAACAAAAATAAACAAATTTTTTTTCTCTTTTTCCGAACCGTGGAGTTGCATTTTTTAATCTTTTTTATTCCACACTCGTACCAAAAACATAACTGTCTAAATGTATTTAAAAACCTTAAGCTTGTAGTAAATTCTTGTAAATTACTAAACCGACCAAAACAAACGAAAAATCATCAAAAAACACATTTCAAAATGCCCCTTTGTCTTAGTATATTAAAAATTCAAATGAAAAGGCAAGCGATCAAAAATTTGGTAACGGTTTTGGGAAGGGCTGTATAGCCAAAACTGAATTTATCAAAGATTGCTTGTTTGTCAGTTTTTGTTCGCCAAGGTTCTGAGCGACACCCTAAGATTTTGGAATACCTTAGTGATAGGAAAAATCAAATGCAACACCACTTTTCTGTAAAACCAAATAAATAATATAAATAAAAAAATTCTGCAGTTATTTTATTGAACTTTAAAATAACTTTTTATTCTCACGTAGGCACTAAAAGAAACAAGCAAAATTGATTTTATTGCCGAAGCCACAAGCGGTTTTCACGGCTTAAAAAACTTTACGCAGTTTCATAAGCGAGATCACACAAAATTGGGCTTAATCAAAAATTCCGAACCGTTTTTATTACGCTGAGATACCTGTTTCGAAAATTTCAAATACCTTTTGGTTCAGGACGCAGAAGGTTTAATTATGGTATATCACTTGATTCATTCTGATGATCATCTATGTTACCAGAATTCTCCTGAAATCAAAGGGAAAAAAATTAGAGAAAACTTAAACACACCCGACGACTTTCATTGGTGGGAACAAAAATAAAACGTTTCAGATAATTCATTTTCGATGAATATTCGAAGTTGTCTACGGCCAAATTCGCTCTTTTGAAAGCCAAGCGGAGCTCTACCAAAACTGATAAAACAACAGTTAGTTTTTGAGCAACAATTATTCAAACCTAACGATAAAAATAACAGAATTGGCATTTTTCACAAGGCATTTTCAGTGTAAAATTGTCACTCCTGAACTTAAGTGAACAGAAAATTGGCCAGAAGATTTTAAAGACTTTACCAACCTTTATTTTAAGTTGACTCCTTTTTTTTCTGCAACGCAAGCAAACTTTTGAAAAAACAGACCCAAAAATGCGTTTTCAGGCATTTTCCTAAAACTTTGACCAAAAAATTGCGTTTTTTTAGCGCGCACTCCACCCTCAAAAGTATAAATATTGGCGCTTTTAGAAAAATTTCATGGTCCGTTAACCTTCCTCCCAAATCCGCTGGTGATATAAAGCCTTCCCAATTTTTTTCATAGAGAGTAGACGAAAAATGCTTTTTCTTTCAAAACATCCCTTTTTAAAACCAGGGTTCTGTTCCATTCAAAACATGTAGGGATAATAATTGATGTGAAACAAACCAGCTATTGCACATTTTGTACTTCATTTCGGAAGTCTCCTGAAAAAAAATCAAATTGTTACTACCAGGATTTTTTGAAACTATCCACAAATCCTGAATACAAATATAAACAAAAAAAGTTAACTGAACTTCGGGACAATTCAGATACAAGACGCTTCGCAGACCGGTATTTAAAAGAAAACAAAATTGAAAAACCTTATCAATTCAATGATAAGAACTGCAGAAAAATCGAATTAAAAAAATCGAAGACCTTCTTTGAGAATCAATTCAGTCTCAGCAGAAAAAGAAGAAACCAAAGAAGTGCAAGGAGAGAATAAGGATAGCCGGTTATTGTGCAAGCTGGTGTCGTTTTTTTCTCAAATTGTTGTCGCTATTTTCTGCTTGTTGTGTAAAAATATCTGAACGAAAAAATAGAATTTGAAAATTTTTTGGGAGACATAAGAAAAATAGGTCAATTGGAAAACAGTTTATGAAGAAAAATGACTATAAAACGAAAAAAAAAATTAAAATTTTTGCAAAAGATTCGTAAACGTTTCAAATTTTTTTGCCAAAAGTTTTCGAATTTTAAAGTCTTTGATTACCAAAATTGCACAAAAACTACCTTTACTTGAGTAAAACTTAATTTCAACGGCTTTCATTGAGCTTCAATAACCTATTGTAAGCATACACGGTCACCATATTTGCTCGAAATTAGACCAAAAGTCAAAAATTTCATACCGACTATTCTCGACCGTTGAAAAAAAATTTTTAACGTCGTTCGAATCTCGATGAAAAAACTTTATAAAGAATTATCACTCCACCCATTCTGATGATTATTTTGTTACCTAATTATGCGTGGAAAACAAAAAAAACTTAAACACACCCGAATACAATGTTCCTCCCTATTTTTAATGGTCGGAAATAGACATTTTTTTTCTTTCTTTCTAAACACTTCAATTGCGAACTTCTTCATCGTTTTTAATCCGCACTCGTAACAAAAAATATAATTATTCCATTAAGAACTTTGAGTTTGTAGTAAGTTCTTGTAAATTACTAAACCGACCAAAACAAATGAAAAGTCATCAAAGAACAATTTCAAATTTTGAAGAAAAAAATTGATATGATTGTCCCTAAGAATGCCGCTTTTTCTTTTTTTCTTAGTACAATAAAATTTCATATGATGAGGCAAGCGATCAAAACTTTGGTAACGGTTTCGAGAAGGACTGCATAGCCAAAATTGATTTATCAAAGATTGCTTGTTTGTCAATTTTTGTTCGGCGAGGTTCTGAGAGACACCTTAAGATTTTGGAATACCCTAGTGTCAAGAAATTAGCATATGCAATACCATTTTTCTATAAAACCGAATAGATAAGTAAAATAAAAAATTTTCTTCAGATATTTTTTTTAACTTAAAAATACCTTTCTATTCTCACAAAGGCACTAGAAGAAACATGATAAAATGTTTTTATTGCCGGAACCATATTCGGTTTTCAGGGCTTAAAAATTTTTACACACTTTCATGAGCAAACTCACTTGAAAATGGGCCAAATCAAAAATTCCGAACTGTACTTTTACCCTGAGATACCTTTTGAAAAATTTCAAATACCTGTTGGTTCAGGACGCAGGTTTAATTATGGTATCACTCGATCAATTCGGATGATCATTTGTGGTACCTCAGTTTGCCTGGAATAAAAAAAATAGAGAAAACTAAGACACATCCGAAAACATTCAGTGGTGGGATCAAAAACAAAACGTTTAAATTCAAAAGTATTCGTTTTCCGTAATTTTTTAAAATTATCTACGCTCAAATACGCTCTTTTGAAAGCCAAGCAGAAACTCAAGTAAAAATTGATAAAAACACAAAATTTTTTGAACAAAAATTATTCAAACCTAACGATAAAAACAACACAATTGGCTTTTTTCACTGGGCATTTTGATCCTCATATCCTGAACAGTTTTCACTGTTAAATCTTCACACTTGATTTTATGCGAACAAAGAATTGGGCCAAAAAATTTTTAAAAATTTACCGAATTTACATTTGAATTGGCTTTTTTTTCTACAACGCGAGCAAACTTTTGAAAAAACAGACCAAAAAGGCGTTTTTGGGCATTTTTCGGCAAACTTTCACCAAAAAGTTGCGTTTTTTGGGCGCACACTTCCCACTCAAAAGTTATCAATATTGGAGCTTTCATAAAAAATTTAGGGTCCCTCAGCCTTCCTTCTCAATCCACTGGTGATTTAAAGTCTTCCCAATATTTCGTACTGAATAAACAAAAAATGTTTTTTCTTTCAAAACATCTCTTTATAAACATCTCTGATCCATTCAAAATATATAGGGATAACTTATGTGAACCAAACCAGCTATCGCACATTTTGTATTTTATATCGGAAGTCTCCTCAACTTAATCAACAAGATGTTATTATCAGGCTTTTCTTAAACCATCCACAAATCCAGTTTACAAACATAAAAAAAAATTTACTGAACTTCGGGACAATTAAAATACAAGACGCTTCGCAGACCGGCATTTAACAGAAGAAAACAAAATTGAAAAAACCTTATCAGTTCGATGAAAAAAAAATCGAATTAAAAAAGTCGAAGACCTTTAAAAATCAATTCAGTCTCAGCACAAAAAGAAAAAACCAAAACAGTGCAAGGAAAAACAAGGATAGCCGGTTACTGTACAAGTTGGTGTCGTCTTTTTCTCAAAATGATGTCACTTTCTTTTGCATGTTGTGTAAAATTATCTGATCGAAAAAATCGAATTTAAGCGTTTTTGAGAAACATAGTAAAACAGGTCAAATGGAAAACAGTTTATGAAAAAAAATCTATTTTTGAAAAAATTTCAAACAATTTTCAACTTTTTGCCAAAATTTTAATATGATATATCACTCGATGCTTTCCGATGATTATTTATGGTACATGATTTTGCGTGGAAAACAGAAAGAAAAAAATAACTAAATTCACACAAATACAAAGTTCCTCCCTATTTTCAATAGTCGGATCAAAAACCAATTTCTTTCTCTCTTTTCAAACACTCGAAAACACTCTTTTCAAACACTCGATTTTTATTCCACACTCGAAAAAAAAATTGTTACATTAAAAACTTTGAGTTTACAGAAACTTTTTTAAAAAAATTATTAAACCTTGCAAAACCAACGAAAAAACATCAAAATATTTCAAATTTTTAAGCAACTTTGTCCTTGAAAAAGCCGGTTTGGTTTGTCTTGTTTATTTAAAACTTTAGAATGAAGAGGCAAGCTACCATAATTTTAGTAACGGTTTTGAAAAGGGTTGTATAGTCAGATTTAAATTGATCAAAGATTGCTTGTTTGTCGATTTTTGTTCGCCGAAGTTCCAAACGACACTTTAAATTTCTGGAATACCCTAGTGATAGTAAATCATACATATACAACACCATTTTTCTCTAAAAAATGAATAGACAATTATAATTTAAAAAAATTGGCAGATACTTTTGTAAACTTTAATTTATTTTCTACTCTCACGAAGGCACCAAAAACAAGAAAAATTGATTTCAGTGCCGGAGCCCCATTCGGTTTGCGGGGCTTAAATAAGCCTTGAGGTACCTTTTTGGAAAATTTTCAATATCTGTTGGTTCAGGACGCAGAGGGTTCAATTATGGTATACCACTCGATCTATTCTGATGATCATTGGTGGTACCTGATTTTGCCTGAAATCAAAGGAATAAAACTAGAGAAAACTAAGACACATCCGAAAACATTCAGTGGTGGGATCAAAAACAAAACGTTTAAATTCGAAAGTTTTCGTTTTCCGTAATTTTTTAAAATTATCTACGCTCAAATACGCTCTTTTGAAAGCCAAGCAGAAACTCAAGTAAAAATTGATAAAAACACAAAATTTTTTGAACAAAAATTATTCAAACCTAACGATAAAAACAACACAATTGGCTTTTTTCACTGGGCATTTTGATCCTCATATCCTGAACAGTTTTCACTGTTAAATCTTCACACTTGATTTTATGCGAACAAAGAATTCCCCAAAAAGTTTTAAAAAATTTACCGAATTTACATTTGAATTGGCTTTTTTTTCTACAACGCGAGCAAACTTTTGAAAAAACAGACCAAAAAGGCGTTTTTGGGCATTTTTCGGCAAACTTTCACCAAAAAGTTGCGTTTTTTGGGCGCACACTTCCCACTCAAAAGTAATCAATGTTGGAGCTTTCAGAAAAAATTTAGGGTCCCTCAGCCTTCCTTCTCAATCCACTGGTGATTTAAAGTCTTCCCAATATTTCGTACAGATTAAACAAAAAATGTTTTTTCTTTCAAAACATCTCTTTTTAAAACCAGTGTTCTGATCCATTCAAATTATATAGGGATAACTTATGTGAACCAAACCAGCTATCGCACATTTTGTATTTTATATCGGAAGTCTCCTCAACTTAATCAACAAGATGTTATTATCAGGCTTTTCTTAAACCATCCACAAATCCAGTTTACAAACATAAAAAAAATTTACTGAACTTCGGGACAATTAAAATACAAGACGCTTCGCAGACCGGTATTTAACAGAAGAAAACAAAATTGAAAAAACCTTATCAGTTCGATGAAAAAAAAAATCGAATTAAAAAAGTCGAAGACCTTTAAAAATCAATTCAGTCTCAGCACAAAAAGAAAAAACCAAAACAGTGCAAGGAAAAACAAGGATAGCCGGTTACTGTACAAGTTGGTGTCGTCTTTTTCTCAAAATGATGTCACTTTCTTTTGCATGTTGTGTAAAATTATCTGATCGAAAAAATCGAATTTAAGCGTTTTTGAGAAACATAGTAAAACAGGTCAAATGGAAAACAGTTTATGAAAAAAAATCTATTTTTGAAAAAATTTCAAATAATTTTCAACTTTTTGCCAAAATTTTAATATGATATATCACTCGATGCTTTTCGATGATTATTTATGGTACATGATTTTGCGTGGAAAACAGAAAGAAAAAAATAACTAAATTCACACAAATACAAAGTTCCTCCCTATTTTCAATAGTCGGATCAAAAACCAATTTCTTTCTCTCTTTTCAAACACTCGAAAACACTCTTTTCAAACACTCGATTTTTATTCCACACTCGAAAAAAAATTGTTACATTTAAAACTTTGAGTTTACAGAAACTTTTTTAAAAAAATTATTAAACCTTGCAAAACCAACGAAAAAACATCAAAATATTTCAAATTTTTAAGCAACTTTGTCCTTGAAAAAGCCGGTTTGGTTTGTCTTGTTTATTTAAAACTTTAGAATGAAGAGGCAAGCTACCATAATTTTAGTAACGGTTTTGAAAAGGGTTGTATAGTCAGATTTAAATTGATCAAAGATTGCTTGTTTGTCGATTTTTGTTCGCCGAAGTTCCAAACGACACTTTAAATTTCTGGAATACCCTAGTGATAGTAAATCATACATATGCAACACCATTTTTCTCTAAAAAATGAATAGACAATTATAATTTAAAAAAATTGGCAGATACTTTTGTGAACTTTAATTTATTTTCTACTCTCACGAAGGCACCAAAAACAAGAAAAATTGATTTCAGTGCCGGAGCCGCATTCGGTTTGCGGGGCTTAAATAAGCCTTGAGGTACCTTTTTGGAAAATTTTCAATATCTGTTGGTTCAGGACGCAGAGGGTTCAATTATGGTATACCACTCGATCTATTCTGATGATCATTGGTGGTACCTGATTTTGCCTGAAATTAAAGGAATAAAACTAGAGAAAACTAAAACACACCAGACGACTTTCAGTGGTGAGATCAAAAATAATACGTTTAGTTTTAAAAGTATTCATTTTCCATGAGTATTTAAAGTTATCGACACTTAAATACGTTCGTTTGAAAGCCAAGAAGAAACTATAGCAAAAATTGATAAATTACACAGTAGTAAGTTTTGAACAACAACTATTCAAACCTAACGATAAAAGTTCCACAATTGGCGTTTTTCACTGGGCATTTTGATCACACCCTTAACAAGTTTCACTGCAAAATCTTCACACCTGAACTTAAAAGAACAGGAAATTTGGCCCAGTCTAATAACAGGCGGTAAAAATTAGCGAGTCCAATATATCAAATGGTACTTTCACAAAAAAAATTAAATGCAGCAGGATTTTGAAAAAAATTGTTTCAAAAACCTTATTCACAATTTAAAAAATTACATCAATTTTTATACATGAACGGTTAAGTTGAAAATGAACTACTAATATACAAAGCAACTAACTTACTTTAGAAGGGTTTGAATTTAAAAAAACTTCATCAAGACAAAAATTTCACATTTTTTTCAGTTTTTTTATGCATCAATTGTCACCCAAATCAGCATAATCGCTCAATCCATCAACGTATTCAGTGTCATGACAAACCCCTCCTTCATTCGTTCGTTTATAAGTAGTAACTTGTTCAGTTTTTGTCGAACTTTCGTCTTTCGAAGCGTTTGACTTCTCTTTATTCGGCTCGACATACATGTCATTATGCAATGGGCTGACGATGTTATAAGCATCATAATTCCCCATATCAGTTTCGCTGCAGGGATTTACATAGGCCTCTTTTTCCGAATCAACCTCGGATGATATTTTGTCGGTCTTAGACTCCAAAAGTTGTATTTTTGAGTAGTGAGATTCGATTCCCTGGTAATCATCATTGTCAAAATCAGGGGCGGATTCATTAGAACTCGCATGATTTTGTGTCTGATCGTCATGTTTCGGGGCCTCGTTGTCAAGCGTGTTAATATCCGCGTATTCATTGTCACAGCTCGTCTGTTTTTGAATCTGAGAAGGACCCTTAAGGGAATTCTGAAACATAGCGTCAATATTCAGACATAAATTTGAAAGACGCAATATTTGATCTGTTATCGAATCGTTATTTGAAAGAGTCGAAGTACCGAGCCCCGGTTGAGATAAATTGAGATACGAACGACCAAAAAACACCAAAAAGATTTTTTTCTAGGAAGGAAAGGAGCAGCACGGATTCACTTTTTATGACCAACCGCTGTAGACCCCTTTGTGAAATAGACGCCAACGCAGTTTTGAAAATTACTATCATTCGTGCTGAAAATGATAACCTTTTCATTAATTGAGTTGTCTCTATCCATCTGCATTTTGGTCCCATCATCTGTCAAAGAGTATTCTTTATCATCCTCGGGTCGTGGTGCACTACTAGTGCATGGATCATCTTGTCCCGAAACAGAGGCTGCGCTGCTGTATGCCACGATCTCCTAGGTACAAGAAGTTGCTTAAATAGTCGACTTCGAGAACACAGCTGGACTTAAAATACCGTTATCGTGCTGGCTTTTTTGAAAAGTAAACTTAAATTTCAGCGGGTTTTTGTTCTCGACACAGAACGAGAGACATAGTGAGATTTTTCAATATTATTGTAGTAATCGGTGTGCAATCGAAAAAAAAAGCGTTTACAGAGTTCGTCGGTACTCAAAATCAAGTTTAAAAGCCAAAAGTCAAGTCGAAAGCCAATAAAAAATTGAGATGGTCGAAACAAGCGAGTTTACGGATACTTTATTTTTGCTTACTTTGCCTGGTTGACCTTAAATAATTTCACAACCGATCTGAAGCTGTGCTGTTAAATTGTATGCGCAAAAAAGTTCGAGAGTCGTGAGTACATACTACGTCACTCTTAATTTTAAACCAATCGATGAATATGCTGAAAAGACCGCTAGCGCATTACGCGGAACCTCGGTTGTTGCCACAGAAATGCACGCTATATTCAATTCAACCTCTAGCAACGAGCAGGGAACCACTGCGCCTCATCGCTGGCTATAGATGGAGAGCAGTCAGACTCACCGAGTTCGAACTTATGTAAATCCCTGCTTCCTTGTCTTCTTCTTTCTTGGCAAGCGTTGGATTCACAAACCCATTTCTCTCGGGTGGATAACCAGCAGGGGGTTTTTTGGGCTTCATTTTTCTGGAGAAGCGTTTCCATACAAAAAATCCACCACCCGCAGCGAGTAGCACGAAAAACACGCCCAAGATACAAGTAACGACCATCCACGGAATATCATCTGAAGACACTTCGCCAAACTGTTGATCTCTTTTGGATATTTCTAGAAAAAGATAAGATAAGACAATCAAAACATCGTGACTAATTTTCATGAACTCTAAATTGAAATTTTTTTAAAGTACACAAACGTTGAGATTCATATACCCATTTGCTGTGCAAGTAGCACTAAATGTTCCGACCATAGTCAGACCCCCACGGTTTGGTCCTGCTAATAAAAAAAAACCATAGTCAGTAAAAATACAACAAAAGTTTTTTTCTAATTTTAGTTTTTTCTGCTTGGTGTAATAAAAAGATCTAAACGAAAAAGTAAAGCTTAAGCATATTCGACAGTTATAGTGAAATAAGCGAATTGGGAAACAATTTTTGTAGAAAAATGACTAGAAAATCAAAAATCTATAAAATTTTTAAATACTTTTTTAAAAACTAAGTTGTTACCGCTTAAACTAAGCAATTATAAGCTTTTAAGCTATTTAAATAAACTCTTGTAAGCCTGCTCGCTCACTCGAAAGTAGACAAAAATCAAAAACTTCAAACCAGTTTTTCTCAACACTAGGAAAATTTCTTGAAAGTCAATTGAATTACGACTGAAAAGGCTTTAAAATGATATATCGCTCAATTCTCTCCGATGACTATTTGTGGTAGCTGATTTTGCGTGTAAAACAAAAAAAAAGAAAAAAACTAAAACACACCCGAATACAAAGTTCCTCCCCATTTTTCAAACGGTAGGAACAAGTAGTGTAGCAATGTCTAATGATTTTTTTTTCTAAATAAGGCTACACACTTGTCGCCTTGCACAGGCGCAGATCTAGGAAATTCTCGAGGGGGGTTCGGATTTTCCAAAAGCATTAAAAAGACCGTTTTGGTCAAATTTTCTGCGCCGCACGCAAAATTTTGAACAAAAAGGCCAAAAAAGGATATCTCAAATTAGTACAAAGGGGGGACCCTTTGCGTCGGCAGGGGGTCGAATCCCTGAGAAGGGCGTCCGCCCCCCCCCCCCCCTAAATCCGCTACTGGTCTTGCATAATGTTGATGAACAATGTATGATGTATGAGTTGGAAGCGTACGTACGGTGCACAATCCTCATCAACAATGATATATCAGTTTCTCTGATTTCAGCTACAATCATAGGTACACTACAATGGCAGTTGGTTCGGGATCATGATTGGTAAAAAATAGGCGATGGATGGTTGTGGACTATAGTTGGTAGATCTTGATAAATATTTCTCTCCTATGGTACGGTAAAGAATTTTCAACCCATTAAACAACTAATACCAAACGGTTCAGTATATGCAAATTTTGTACCTTGTAACGACAATTTGCCACTTTTGGCAACCGGTTTGTGTGTGTTGGTGTGTGTATGTGTGTATATATGAAGGGGTTGAGGTAGTTGACATGACTAACCGACACACCCGACCACTGAGTCACAAAAGTCCATTGTGCAGTTGCATTCCTGGGAACAGTTGACTCCGAAGGTCCCATTAGGACACTCTAGAACAAAAAAAAACACAGACGCATATTTAACTATCATGATTGAAGTTAAACATGGGTGAGAGTAATGAACCCTTTATTATAACTAAATTTTTTTATGTATGAAATCCAAAAGAAAATTGTAAATAAATGCTTTCAACCAGTGGCGTGCGCAAAAATTTTTCTCGGTTGGGGGGTGGGGGCGTTCCAGTTTTTTGAAGAAAATATGAAAATTTGGTTCGACTTTTTTTAGTTCGACCAATTTGATCTCGTAAAGTTATACCAAAGTACCCGTAGGAATAATTTTGCATCCAAAATTGAGAGATGCGACCGCCAAACCACCCCCCCCCCCCTCAATTCTGGTTGCCAAATTTTTCCGCGCTACTGCTTTCAACGGTAATTTTTTTAAAAGCTTGCTGGATAAATAATAGGCTCAACGCGATCTTCACCTACGCTTTCGTCTTCCAATGAACTGGCCTTGTAGTTGATGAAACATATTATGTTTTTTAAAATTAGTTCAATCATGTATGCTTTTCACAGAATCTTTATCTAGCCGGTAAACGTAATTGCGGCGGATTTTTCTCTTGATTTTTGTCGACCCAATGACAGGTCACGAACAAGTTAGATAGCTGCCCTCATCAAAATTTACGACATCTAAGAATTGACGTTTGTTACCTATCTTCTCTCAAACAGCAAACGGGGAACCGAAAGAGCAATTAGTCTAGGACACCAGAAAAAGATTTTATCAAGTTGAATTCCTCCATTTTTTTCTTCAAAAATGGTCTAAAAAATGAAACTCTGATACTTGTAAAATGACCTGACTGAAAATGAACATTTCAGAATGAATAGGAAAAAGTATCATTTCATACAAACTAAGAACGCCTAACATTTTAAGAATGCACGGATTTAAAAAGATTTTTTTTGGTCTACTAAACTAATTTTTTGAGCGCTTCAAAGCATAATGAAACCCCTGGCCTACTTTGCCAAAAATTTTTGCCAACAAAATTTTGAAAAAGCAGGTCAAAAACAAGGTTTTAGGGCAATTTATCAAAATTTTTAAAGAAAACATCGCATTACTTGGCGCGCTGTCTGTTCCTGGCTAACTTAAAGTATATTTGAGGCAACGGTGACTATAGAAAAAGAGTTTGTCGACCAAAATCGCCAATAGTTGAGAGATCAAACAGTCAAGTTCCTAGAGAAGAGGTAGTCCGTCCCCTCCCCCCTAAATCCGCACCTGATTTCAAATTACGTAGGTTTAATTTTTTCTCTTAAATTAGCTCGGAATTTCATTTCAATCCCTGTAAAAAACATTACATCTCTGCCTTTTGAAACTTATTTTAGAAAACTTTTCTGTTGAGAGGAATGGAAAAATCTCAAAAACGGAGCGAAAAAAAATTATATTGCTGAATCGGACTATATTGCTGAATCTGGCACAGTACTTGCGGTAGCCGGATAAAACAAAGAACTTTTGAAAAAACACTATAGATTTTAAGATAGTTTCAAATTTACTTTCGTTCCTGGTTCCCTTCATGCAGTAAGCTTTTGGGCCTTCGTGCGACTCGAAAAACCACACAGCGGTGCAAGAATTAAACTCGCCTAAAAGCCATCTTCAAAACAAAGATTGAGGAAAGAGGAAAATTTATGACTTTCGGCTTTTTAATCTATTTCAAATGACGCCAAAACATCACCAACAATTCCTGAAAAACTTGTAACAACTAATTAAATGCATTTTTTTTATTGAGCTAGGGATTTTGGGCTCTATCATTTGTTTAACAACAAACCTTTTACTTATTATGAAACTTTGTGCAAAGCATAAAAAATCATAGCTTTTTAAAATATTTTGAAAAAATCTACCAGCAATAGTTCGTTGAAAATGTTGGGAACTCCAAATTAACAAAAACAGTGCTGCCATATAACAGATTCTGCCTGAAATATAAAATGTTCCTTCCATTATTTGTGCTTAGATTTTCCAGAAAATTTTTTTAAAAAAACTGAAAACGGGATTTTTTTTAGTAACCTGTGATTTTTGAAAAAACGGTGTTTGTTATCGCAAACTTTATAATGAAAAATCAAGAATCACATTATTGCTCCCTGCGGTAAGTTAAACTGGTCACATACGCCAAAAAATTCAGCATAGATAACTTTATTTTGAGACGTCTTCCAATATCGGGAAAAAATTGATTGGAAAAAATTAGTCTGCCGATTACAGATAGGATTCTCCTGACCGGTTTAGAGTTGTTGAATTAGTATAGCAAAGTTTCACTGTAATTTTAAGAAAACATCAAAAAACACTTTTCCTAATTCGGGCTAAATGCCCAAAATCGCCCAAACAACTGTTTCAAACTCTTTTGGACAAAAACCACGAAGTTCATTTTTGTAGACTCAAAATTTTCATCGCTTTTTCAATAGCCCCTATTTTATAAAATGTTGTACCGGTAGGTGCCCAGATCAAAAAACTTTGATGTGTTGAAACGCGAAAACTTAGCAAATAATCGTTCATCCGCGTGCAATCAATTGGCCAAACATACTAAAAGCCAGAAAATGATCCGTTCAAAAAAGTAAGTCGAAGTTGGGCTAAGCTGAGTGTACCATTTTGGGCACAATAAGTAATAGACTCAAAAAAATTTTGAAGCAAATAAATTCAAAAATTTGATGACTCACCTTGTGAGCAGTAGGGCCCGGTGAAACCCAATGCCAGACACTCACAGCTACCCGTCACCATGTCACAGGTGGCATTATTCTGACACAGACAGTTATGGAAACAGGCTGGTCCATACTTACCCTCGGGACACGACAGTATTTCACAATTATCCCCCTAGATTTGACTGAGATGTCAAATATAGGTTTCATTTTGATATTATTAACTTTCTGGTATTATAATTGAAAACCTTGGTTACCGTCAAAATCTTAGCCCAAGAAAATCTTTCAGAATGAATACGAAATTATACAATCATTTCTTACAAACTAAGAACGCCTAACATTTTAAGAATGGACGGATTTAAAAAGATTTTTTTTTGGTCTATCAAACTAATTTTTGGAGCTCTTCAAAGCATTATGACACCGCTGGCCCACTTTGCCAAAAAATTTTGCCAACAAAACTTTTAAAAAGTTTTAGGGCAATTTATCAAAATTTTTCACGAAAACATCGCATTACTTTGCGCGCTGTCTGTTCCTGGCTAATTAAGAGTACATTTGAGGTAACGGCGATTACAGAAAAAGATTTTGTCGACCAAAATTGCCGCCTATAGTTGAAAGATCAAGAAATCAAGTTCTTAGAGAAGAGAACGTCCGTCCCCTCCCCCCTAAATCCGCAACTGATTTCAAATTAAGTGCGTTTAATTTTTTCTCTTAAGTTAGCTCGGAATATTACTTCAATCCCTGAAAAATCATGACATCTCTGCCTTTTGAAACTCGTTGCAAAGACAGGTCCCATTTCTGAAATCACAGGGCATTCCGAAAGAACAGTGAGAGCAATTTCCACTGCACCGATCACCCCAGAACCCAAGATCACATTCCCGCTGGCAATTTATTCCGAAAAATCCAGGGGAGCAGGTACAGGTGCCGTTTTTGGGATTGCAATCTCCGCCATTGAAGCACAGACAGTTTTCTGTGCAGTCTGCCCCCCACGAGTCTTCCTCACAAGGATCGGCACAAACCTCGCCCTGAAAAAAATTGAGTTTGAAGCTGAGTTAATTAGTTAAAAATTTGCAATATAGTTTAAGATTATCACCATTATTACCAGATAAGGTTAAAACCGTTTAGCACTAGAAAAAAAATTTGTCTAAGTTTTTCTGAAAATTTTAACAAAATTCAGAAATAAATTTTACCCGCAACTTTTTTAAAATATGTATCCGGTCTCGGAGGGGGGGATTTTCAAAAAAAATTCGAAAATTTTGAGACCTTTTTTTTTAGGCCGACCAAAAAAAGGGCACTTTTTTGGGACCCGTTTTTGGGCACTTTTTGGAAAATTTTGACAAAAAATTAAGCGTTTTTTTGGCGCGCGCTGCCCGTCAAAGTTAGTATGTATTGGTGGCGCCAGAGGCGCCTTTAGAAAAATTTTAGGGTCCATTGGCCAAACATGGATTTCATATAAAGTACCAGGGGGGGGGGCAGGGGGTCGAATCCCTGAGGGGTGGCATCCGCCCGCCCCTGATCCGGTTGGTTTCTTCATTATTTATGCGAGAGGAAGTTTTCAAAAGTGAAATCACATCCGATTCAATTGCTATTAATTCAATCTAATTTGTAAAAAAAGCCCATCTAAATGACTTTCTACTAGGCAGGCATGAATTACTACCACACAATTTCCTGGTAATAAGAACATGAAATTGTTTTTATTTTTCATCACACCATTTTTTTGTTTCAACGAAAACCCGATGCAATTTTTCACTCCGATGCTATTTTTATGCATTTGAGTATATTTTTTCTTGAAAATGTTTTATATCTCAATTAGGTTAAATAGATTTGCATTGCTTGCAAAAAAATTGTAAAATGTTTGAGGTGTAATTGAATTCCATTTTCAGACTACTGAAATTTAAGCAAAGGAACCGAGCATATGTTGAATGAGAGCACTAACCGAGAATCCGGGAGTGCATTGACATCCCTGTTCTTCTGGCAGACAGATGGCATCATTCTGACACGGACACACTTGTTCACACCCTACCCCAGTCAAGCCCTCCGGACACAATGAGTCACACAGGGCACCCTAGGAGTAAGCAACTTAATATGCACAGAGGCGAAGCGAAGCCCTCGCACCACTTGCTATACGACACAAAAATAAAAAAAAATCTATAATCTAAGAATTCAAAATGTTTAAAAAAACTAGGTGAACCAAAATTTTCGAAGGGGCCCAGCTGTAGGCACGTTTTTGATATTTTGTGAAATTGTTATACTGATGCAGGATGAAATGGGTAATTAACAAAAAAAATGGACTTTGTCCAAAACTGTAGTTGTTTCTCCACTAAGATAAGTGAAAGAGTGAAAATTTTTTAGATATTGAAAACTTCCATGGAAAACATTTTTCTGGCAAAAAATAAGGTGACACCATTTCTGAAGCAAAACTCCTCGCAACCGGTTTTTCCGATTAAACTACCCAAATTTGACAGGGTAGTTTAAAAGAAAAGTCAGTTTCTAAACAACAGTAAAACGTTCAACAATTTGACCTTCCGAAATCACTAACTTTTCTGCAAAAATAGGCGTCTAAGCAGAGAAGATTCTCAGAACCGGGTTTCTCGATTGAACACTTAACCTGAGAATTGGCAGGTTAGTTTTCGACAAAAGTTTTCGATTCAGGTGAAAAAATTTTAACAAGAACTGGGTGTAGCCAATTGTAAAGATACGTATTGGCAAGATATCAGAATTGGCAAGATACGTATGAAAGAAGTCAAAGAGTTTCCAAAAAATGGTCAACAAGAAAATAATAGCATTTTCCACGAATGATAGCTTTTTTGTAGATATAATTTGGGCGCAACCGCTTATGAAGAAGAAATCATGCAACTGGTAAATTAGATTGAACCCAAAAACTCAAAATTGAGAAGGTAGCTTTTCAGAAAAAATCATGGTTTCGAAAAAAAAATAAGAAAAAATAAAAAATTCAGGTAAATAATTAGAAGTGGCCACTAGCGCATGAAGCGTCTTCATGAACCCATAATTTCAGATTTGGGACGGCAGTTTTCGAGAAAAGTCAAAGTTTCAAGAACGGTTCAAAAATCAAAACTTTGACTTTTCGAAGGGCCATAACTTTTTTGATATTCGCGTATGTAAAGGAACTTCCCACGATCCCTTCTATGGACTGAATCCAAAATATAAGATTTGGCAGGGGAGTTTTCAAAAAACGGTCAAAAAATTAAGAATTTGACTGTTCCGAGCGCTTATGCAGGGAAGCTTACCACCACCCGTTATCTTCATGAAACTCAGACTCGCAGATTTGGAAGGGTACTTTTCGAGAAAAAAAAATCAAAACAGGGTCAAAAAATCAAATATTTGAGTATTCCGAGAGCCATAACTTTTTGAGTAAAAGGATTTGGGCGTAGCCGATTGTGCTGGAGAGCTTTCCATTGCCCGTTTTATCCCTTGAAACCAAGTTATCAAATTTTGCAGGGCAGTTTTTGAGAAAAATATCAAAATCTAAGAAAAATTCAAATTTTCCCACAGACTTTTTCGAAGGCTGTGGATTGTATACTAGAGTAAAAATAGACTAGTGAATTAAGTGGTATTCCGATCAATCCCTTTTTTAAAAATCAGTGGAATAGTTTCTGAGAAAAATTGAAAAAGCTCAAAAAGTAAAAAAAAAATGCGCCAAGCAAAATAGTTGAATTTAAAATTAGCAAAAACGCAAAATTCATGAAGCGGAAACAAAGGCGACAATCTTTGAGCAGGCACCAATTGAGGCGAATAAAAATTCAATTCATTAAAATTTCAAGTCCCATTGAAACTACAATCAAAAAACACTTGCAACTACCATAACACTTGCTTACAGTAAGAAAAATCCGCGATATAGGTAGACAAACGAAGGTAGACAATTCGTAAGTAGACAAACGAAAGTCGATCAATTTTATTTCTCGAGGAAAAGATATTTCTTTTTCATACATACTGAAAAAACCGAGCTCGACCGGGGTTCTAACACCAGCTTTGAGGTTACAAAGGCAACCGCGGTACATCTAGGCCTGTTGTATCCAAAACGTTGCTAAGGTTCAATAATAAATCAATTTCACAATTTCTTGCAAATACTAACTCCTTTTGAATATGAAAGCGTCTTGTTCAAATTTATTGATTTATTTATTTTAAGAAGATTTTTACTGAAGGCGAGGTTTTTAAATCAATGTGCTCTCCATTACGAACCATCTCTTAGAGCGGAAAGGAGCTATAGCGTCGAGTCAATTTTTTTCCAGCCGATTTTGACTGCCTCAAGCAAAGCTCGCAGAAAGTCAAATGAGTTATCATAGCAGAGCCTTCTTAGTCGTAACTTGGATTTTACACCGAGGCGAAGCTGCGCTTCGCAAGCACTAGCGAGAACACGACAAAAAGCAGCTGTATAAACTGCAATAAGAAAAAATAGAAATAATCCTCGAAGTAGTAAAAACTACTTCGAGATGTCTCGTCTCGGATTTTTGCGTTTCGTCTCGGATTCGATCTGCGACTCAAAAATTAAGAGTCTCACGCACTAACCACTCAGCCACGAACAATTAATATATCACTAGCCGCAAATAAAGCAAAGAACAGATGCTAAAAAATTTCCAATGCTACAGATCGTGCTTATAGCAGAAATTCCATCAAGTAATTGAACACGTTTAATGAACACTTTTATTTGCGAATTAGGTTAGAAAAGAAGAAGGTTCGTACTAAGAAACAAACGCTCGCAAGGTTGCTAGTAAAAAAAAGGAAAGGTTAAAAAAATTTATCCATGTCTCCATTTTTTTAGTGTCGGTTCTGATTGTTTTCGCTATTCAGACCCAAAAAATGAACACCCAAGTTGCAACTATAAATTTGGCCAAAATATTTTTTAAAAAAACTTTCAATTTTATCAAGGCGGCTCTCTTTTAAATTTACGGTAGGCAAATATATAAGTCACAATCGAAAATTCACAAAATTTGGCAATACAGCTAGAGGCTTTATGAGCTTATATGTACACCTTATGGGCTATTGTACACATTAAACTTTCAACAGAGGTAAAATTATGTCAGATAAAAGTCGGCAAACTCGAAAAGTTGGATGGAATTAAAGCGTAGGTGTTTTATTTTCATTCGATTTTGACTATCTTAAGAAAAGCTCGGAGAGGATCAAGAGAGTATCATACTGAAGCCCTGTGATTGGTTATTTGGTCTTTGAGATGTGATTATTAAGATGTCGAAGTCGCTTTTAAGTTTGCAAGTTTAAGTGTTAAGCAACAAAAAAAGACTGGCAACAGCAGAAAAAACTGATTTAGAAAACGAGGAGAAATAAGTTTTTGTTTCGCATCATCTTCGATAGATAACATACATAGAGTGTAGAGCTAGCCGAAACCAACCAAAAAAACTCGATAAATTCAATTACTCTGAACGAAAAATAATGTTATTTATATCTAGAGTTTTTTCAGAAAATTTTTGTCTGTTTTTAGGGGTCAACTAAATTGATTTTCAGAGGTCCCGCAACACTATGGAAGACGCTAGTTTGACAAAATTTTTACGCTGCGAGCAGTATGAAACACAGGCTTAAAATGCCATTTTTGGGCCCTTTTAAAGCGATTTGCCCCTCAAATTTAAGTCGCAGTGGCGCCAGAGGCGCCTTTGTATGAATTTAAAGACAATTCGACCAATTGGAGATCGTGAAATAGTACAAAACATTACCAATGATTGTGACATGATCCGCTACCCCTATGTCGTACCCTGGTATAACGAATTTTGGTGACAATAATTTTTAGCATTTTGGAGCTCTTTTTCATCCCCCAAATCGCATGAGCATGAATTTTGGGTGTAGCGAGTGGTCTTAAAAGATGAAGTATGCCGACCAATTATGTTTGTCTGAAGGGAAAAGAGCCCATTTTGGAAACAGTACTTCAGCAAAAATCAAAAAAGAGTCTGCAAAAACATAGCATTTTCACTAGCCTGGTAACCACTCTTGCACGTGCATCTTCCGTTGGTATTTTCACAAAACTGCGTTTGGTTCTTCAAACACACACAATCCTGTACACAATCCAGCCCATGTTTCCACTCGTCACACTCTTGTTCACACCTGTGGCCAATATAGCCAGCTGCACAGGTGCAAGATCCGTCGATTGGGTCACAATCGGCTCCATTTTCACAGCTGCAACTGTTAGCACAGCTGGGTCCAAAAGAACCTGGCTGACACGCTGAAAAAAATGTTTGTTAAACTTTTTTTAAAAAGAAATTGGGCTCCCGAGATCAAGTTGACAGGGTGGCTGAGATCTTAAACATCGGTACAGGGGGCGGATCTAGGATTTTTATGAGCGGGGGGGGGGGCGGATTTTCAAAAAAATTTCGAAAATTTGGTCGACCTTTTTTTTAGGTCGACGAAATTGATTTTTTGATCTCCCTGAATCCGGCCCTGCATCGGGATCAAGTTAACACCTGCCCCCTAAATCGCTTTAGGAGTAGACATGTTAACTGCGACCAACAACCGAAATAAGATGATTCCAATTACCAAGAGTTCTTTCCTTGCGAACAAGAATACTCATTTGTGAAATGTTTAGGTTTCTTATAAATCTTTAAGAAAATTTCATATTTTCAAGTTGAGGACTCCTATAGCAAGAGACTCTCGAAAACTTATAATCATCATGAAGAAATATGGTGATCATAATCATGGCCTGCTCTTCAAATTTTAGAAAACTCATTGATTTTTTTGCAGTAAAACTAATTTGATTTCTTTTTCCTGACGGGGCGGACGCCCGACCGGAGCCCGTGATTTTAATGATTCATGTCGATAAACTGTGAACAGTGGAAAAAGACCTGCAGTTGAAAAAAGGTGACTAATTTTTTTCTATTCATTTTAGTAATGACTCTTGAGATATGATTCTAAAGCAGAACCAGGCCTTTGATAGACTTTAACTGTTACTTCAATAGATAATTGATTTTCAAAAAAGCAATCTGTGAACATTTTTGCCGCCATGGTAGAAAAAGATGTGAAGAACTTCTGAACAGCTTTTTTATTTAGCTTGCATATTTAAAAAAATAACAATCATTTGTGAGATTTCTAATGACGAAGTTTTACCAAGTGTCATTGTCGCTGAAGTGATTTATTATGATTTTTTTTCAATGAAATTGGAGCAAATGCGATGCAAATCGATTCAGGGGCCAGCCCTTTAGGAATTTTTTTAGTTAAGCCACTTTGATATCTTAATCCTGAGAGGGTGGACGCCCCCTTCCCCTGAACAACCATTGATCTTAACGATTCGTAAGCAACGAACCTTGAAAATTTCTTCAGCCACATTAGAACAAGATTTTCTTGTTGATGCACGATGGCTAGTTTTCGTCTAATCACGTTTGCATTGACTCTTGTGATACGATAACAAACCAGGTCTTTAATAGGATCTAATAGACCTTTCAACAGAAAATTGATCATCAAAAAAGCTACAGTTTTTGATTAGTTGATTTTATGAAAGTCGCATTCATTTCTGAGATGTCTAATTAATAACTGTTACAACAAGCCCTCGTCACTGAACTGATTTACTTTCTTTTATTTTATTGATTTTGTGATAAAAATAAGAGCGGATATGCATGGGGAGCTATATATAATTAGAGACCAGCGTAACTAAAACTAGCACAAGTTTGACAAGTTATTGAGAAAAATTTCCATGCTCAAAATCCGCCCTATCCCACCTTTAAAGTAACAAAACCTCATATCACACAGTAACCACTGATTTTGCAAGACTGTGCTTGAATACCAATTATTTTTAGATTATGGTACTCTATCTAGAATACTCTAGAAGGGGAATTATCTAGGAGGGAAAAGCTTAGAAAATTCTGAGAACTTTATTGACTTTCTTTTAAGGTAAACCAAAATTATTTTTGGAAAATTTAAATGCCTGTCACCCAAAATTGATGGTACCCAGGAATCTCGGTAACATAGCGAAAAAAATCTTTGGCTGCTGAGAATTTCTAATCCCTAAACAGCTCCTGATCTATTAGATTCACTAACAAGGAACGGTAAACGGTTTTGAAGTCACGTTAAAAAAAATTCTGCAGTTAAGAAAACGATGTCTAATTTTCGTCTATGCAGTTGTGCAATAATTCTCGTACCATGTAATTAACCAAGCTTTTAAGAGATTTTTCAACGGATAATTGTTATTTTCAAAAGCTTTTGTGTTTGGTTCGGATATTTTACGAAGTCATTTCTGAGAATTCTAATGAGTAATTGATACAACATATCCTGGTAGCTGATTTGTTTTCATAGTTTTGGAATGAATTTGGATAATGCGTCGCAAGTCGGTTTATTTGGAGGTGAAGCGATTACAGATGAAAATCACGGATGAACCAAATTATTTCTTGAGGCAAGGTATATTTTTGAAATGTTTTCAACACGCCGAGTTAAAACTAGCAGCATTTGACAAATTTTTTTAAAAATACGGCTACCCCAATGTCCAAAAATTGCTCTGTTCTCACCTTACATACTTATATAAACCTCGAATTACGCTATAACCAAATATTTTAGTTTACCTATGAATATGAAATATGTTATAACAATGGTAGTTAAAATAGGACTTCTTCGAGAAAGAGGAGTTAAACGATGATATCCTCGATGAATAGGACTTCCTCGAAATATTTCAAAAATTAAAAGAAAAATCAAAAACTATTTTTTTTAGATAAACGAAGTTGATTTTTGAAAAGTTTTTAGGTAGGCTAGCCAAAAAGTGATAGTACCAAAGTTTCAAGGTAAAAAATCGGTTCCCCATCTTATCACTCCCGCGTTTTTTAACCGCTGGTTTCTAAACCCCCTCTCAAATAGCTTCAGAAATAGAAAACCCCACTAAAATTCAATGTCTTTTTTATACCAATTGTTAGAATCAAAATGAAGCTTACTTGAAAAGAATTCGGAACCATAGCGTCGGTAAACATCAGAGCTTTAATTGCGAAAATTTTTTCAACGCAAAGCGAAATAACGTGCAAACTGCTAAATGCAGTTTAGATTTGAACAGAAATTACCTTGCCGGTAGTCTAGACTTTGATTTGAACTTGCAAACTAATCCGATCGGCATGATTCAAGTTATTAACCAAAAAAGATTAGATTTCTCCAAAAGTGAACTTGATAATCATCTTGCTAATAATAGATCAATTGGCTGAATTTAAATGAATTATCAAATGAAAACTGGTTGTGACCAAAAATTTGATCAATCTAATCTAATTTTTTTTAAATGCCGATCATTTTAAAGTATAATTTAACTAACTTTTCGAACCATCTAAAATTTGTCAATTTTTTTGAACTGTCGGCATACAACGCATTGTCTAAAGGGTTTACCAGCCCCTAGTCCCAACCTAGCGTCCCACCAAAGGAAAGGAGCAATTGTTCCGGGATTAAATTGCTAGAGACAGCATTTTCAAATGCGATTCAAGCCAATGCGTTTTTTAACGTCTCCGGGAGGCCGCAAGGAGACGTCTTTTCTCAAAAAAATGTTAAACATTTTAATTTATGGGCTGAATTGCTGTTATGGACTGAATTGCGGTGGAGTCTGCGACAGTCGATGTATTACCCCCGCCCAGGTCCTTGATACTTGTCAAAACTAGTTGAGCATCAGGTTTTTTCGTAGATATGTCGTGATTATGCTCACCCCTCGTTTGAATAAACTTTTCGCCATCCGTACTTGCTGTTGCTCGGCATTCATCAGTCTGGTATTTTGCGTTTGTTAATTCCAGTTAGTAGTGTTTTTGCTCTTAAGTTTAGAATAATACTCGCTCCCTGATATTTGTTTGTTTTTGGAGGATAAAGTAAAATGGAAGGACGCTCCAAACATTATAGCCCATAGAATGGTAAGACAATCGTTCAAGTGTAAAACAGTATGATTTTATGCACAATTTTTAATGTTCTTGAGTTGCTTTCAATTAGCACCATGTAGGTTATCTCTGTTTTAAATGCATGAGTGAGGGATTATTTCACTAACTAATCGAAATGCAATTATTTCTGAGATGCTAGAGGACTACTCCTGTACTTATAAAAAGGACCTAATTTGAAACAAATTATCGGTATTAAAAGGGGGTTAAATTGTTGTTAGGTTATCTTGTTACGGGGTTATAAAGTAGGGGGTGTAGAAAATGGGGGTTAAATAACCTGGGTTTAAAGAGGTAGACACCATAAATTCAGGAAATAGAGCGCTTTGGCTGGCGAGGATTTCTGATTTTTGAAAGGGTGATCGTCTCTTCCCCTATACTGCCCCTGATCTTAATGATTCATAAACAATGAACTGTGATTTGTTTTTGACGCCCTAGTGAAAACAGATCTACATTTGAAAAAAAAAACGATAACTTATTTAAATCTAAGATTGCTAAGATTTTAATAACTAATTGGTACAACATGGCGTATTCGCTGAGCTGATTTAGTTTCTTGATTTTGAGATTGAATCAGAGCAAAATGTTAGGCGAGGGCGCGGCAGAAAAAAAAGAAAGATAGTTAGTTAAAATTCTGATTTGACTATCCTGATTTGATAAGAAACATAGCTTCTGCAGAGGTGAGCCGGAGCTTCGAGCAGCTTGCAACACGTAGGTTTGAAGCAAGCAAAACATGGCAACAACTTTTTGAGAAAAAGCTGTACCGCCTTACTAGCCCTAGCCCGCCCTGCTTCATCTTACTTCAGGAGGGATTGATTGTATAAACCGGCAATCACATGATAAAAAAACATAGCAAAAAAACGAATAGCATGTTCTTCTGTACCACAAGTGAGATTGAAGGAAACTTAGTAATTAACTCTAACGGAACGCAGAAGCGAAGTATCAGCTACCATATAAAAAGCAAAAAATAGCAAGTATTGAGAAGAAAGCTTCCAACGAGTTTTGAAAAACCATTGATGTTCGAAATTCATACAGGAAAACAATCAAATGAAAACCTAGCATCTGATTTCCGAATTAGACTTCAACCTTGACCACGTTTGTTCAATTTTCGAAATCGTCAGCTCATTCAGTAGTTCATAAAATAATACATACGGTTGATAGAGATTTTTAAATGGCGGATGAAGTAGGAATCACGGCGCACATCAAAAACTTTGAATTCAATTAAAATCAGTTATAGTTTCTATGGCTTTAAAAAAAGGTACGAAATCTTACTTCTTTAATTAAAATCATATGATAAATTCAAACTCGTACGAATAAACAATAGTACGAATAAATCTCAAGAAAGGAAGTAAGA